AAGCAAAGTACTCAAAACTGTTAAAGGGTTAAAGTTGTACGACACGAAGACAATACCATGCTAGCAACCTGTCCATCACAAGGTAGCCCTGCCCTAAATCATACACTCTACATCGTCAATTTTACTCTAAATGGGACCATCATTTACTAAATAAACACTTTGCTGTATTGAAGAAGACTTAAAGGGCCCATGTCATGGCCATTTCCACTGATCATAATTCCATTGTTGAGGTCTACTAAAATAGATGTATATTGTGCAATTTTCCAAACTCACATTGGTTTCTCATACAGCATCTCTGTAAACTACGTGTATTCACTGAATTTCACACTCTGCCTTTAACGGCTCGTTGTAGCTCCAATAGCTCCAGCCCCCACCCTCCCTGTGAACACAGTGTGCTCTGATTGGTCGGGACGTTGTGAATCGCGCTGAGCTCCGTGGAGGTGTTGTTTCCTTGTTAGCGATACACAGCCAAACACAGCCAAACTCATCCTGAGCACACACAAAGTCACAGCCGAAGTAAAAACAATAAGTGTGGCTTGATATTGAGTAAGAAAAAGGTTGATAAACGCTGTGAGAATGGGTCTGCAGAGAGAATTTCGCCACGATCCCAACTGTCTGTTATCAGCCTGCAGCCAGGGAGAAGAAATCAGCTGAGCTGCCTGCTCCCTGCACACAGATGTGTGTGTGAGGAAGTCCGTGGAGCGGGGGCTTAACGTAACGGCTCCGCGGACGTAACGTAACGGCTCCACGGATTGGTCCATTTCGTTCCGGGTACGGCATGACATCATGCCGTACCCGGAACGAAATGGAAGAATCAAATGGACAATGACGTATCTCCAACGAGGCGTTTTGGGGAGGTATTTTCTGTGTTATGGCGCGTTTCCACTACACGGCCTCGCTCGGCCCCGCTCGGTATGGCTGGGCCGCGATTGGCCTCGTTAGGACCAGCTCACTTTATGGCGCGTTTCCATTACAGTTTAGGAACTGGGGTAGTATCTATAGTAACGCAGTGTAGGCGGAGCGACGCTGCTTAAAACTGCCGTGACGTCATCTTCAATGCGACACAACAATGGAGGCTGTGGAGATGTGAAAGCGATCGTTTGCTTGGTTTTTGCTGTGTGGTTTATTATCACAAGAAATAGACAAGAGTTGTTTCGAAAGAGGCGACGTATAGCAAGACGAGGTATAGAAGAAGCTGACGCGAGAGTTCGGGCAGTCCTCCTACGCCGCAGAGACTACAGGACGACTCGAATCACTACTAACTACAATGCTACTTGGTAAGCTAACGTTCGCTAACTAGCAATGTGTTTAGGCTCACGCTCCCTATACGACCAAAGTATTTCAAGTATTTAATTAATTGTAGCTACCACTTTTACGTATTAAAATATGTATGCTTTTGTTTGTGTATTTCAGAAGTTACCGACCGAGCTACCGAGTGGTGGAATGTGATTGTTCCATCTTTCACACAGACTCAGTGGGTGGAGAACTTCAGGATGCCTGAGGAAAACCTACGTCTACCAGGGGTAGCAGTGGCACAAGGTGCAGAGGAGGGCAGGGACATACGAGAGGGTCTGATGCGCTACCTGAATACCTAGAATGTATAATGTAATACCTAAATATTCATTGTATTGTATTGAACATAAATACATCTTTTCTTTTTCACATACATGTGTTTGTCAAATTATTTAAACCAAAAAAATGTTATCAGAATTGACTATTTAGTAAATATTTGAATTTCAAGCACCAGTACTGCCCCCATAATAATAATAATCTAATAAATTAAGCAAATATCAAAGCAAACTATAAACATAAATACAAAAGTGTAAAACACAACAGAACTATATTCATAAATGCAAGTGTAAAAAATTGTTAACATGGATGGAGGCTAAAGTATCCACAGCATAAAATAATATGATTATGATGGTTTGTCTGAAAGACACAGCCTCAAGGTTCAAGGTTTTTTATTTTGTCATACGAACATAGCTAGTGTAGTTATGACAATGAACATCTTAGGTCACAGGCTCCTCCAACAGTGCAACACAATAACCCAGATCAACAGAAATATAGTGCAAGTAAATATTAAGCGCTGTGCACCGCTCTCTTTGTATAGGTGTTTTCTTTTGTTCTCTTCTCTTTGAAATATATAAGCAATGTGTTTGAGTCTAGCACAACGAGGGTATTACAATTGAGTAATTTTTACTACATGTATTTATCATGTATTCTTAATACCATTACAAAATATGTAATGTTATGTTTTAGAGGAGGACCTCAAGCTAGCAAACTCAATTTCAAACAGTATGCAGAGTTGTCCTGCTAAAGAGTTCAAATGTATTATTTAACCAAGTATTTATTCTCTTATTTGCTTTAATTGCAACAGATGATAAAGGTTTCACTGTGATAAGTATTCTCTTAAATCCATAAACCCCTGTACAGTGCTTTGTGGACGATGGTGTTTATGATATTTCTGACTGCAGAGGGACGCCTAGATGATGCCATCTTTCTGTGTGATCGCTGGTGGGTGCAATTATTTATCAACAAGCAATAAGATAAGCCATGGCATTGATTCTGCTGGGCCAGTTGCCGTTCCTGCAGGGCCAGATCCTCCTCCTCGGTTTGTGCTGTTGATGCAGAGGACGTTGTTCGGAACTGTTCCTCCTCGCTAGTCCCAATGTAATCATCTAGAACAGAAACATGACTTGTAAATTCCACAAACTACTGCAGCACAATACTATAAATAGCAACAACAACTATAGAAAAGACAAACTGAACGTAAACAATGGCACATATGGTGTTAGCAAACAATAGCTCTCGCTAATGCTATCTGCCTAGCTAGCCTTCGGGGCTCCATAAAAGCATGGGTTGTCGAACATAAATGTAAGGATAAAATAGACTTATTTGTTAGAAGTGAGCTTTAGAACAGATAGGGACACAAAGCTTTCAAGCAAATAACAGAGTGTTAGCAAAAACGTACCATGCAGACTCCAGTAACGCCGTTGGAGAGTCCAGTGTCTGTGTAGAGACCTCCTGAAAGACTTTGATATTGCGAGTTGTCCCGTCAAGCACCCGCTGGACCTTATCATCTGCAATATAATGGACGTCGTCACTTCCTCGACCGACCATGGTGTGCTTTTCTTTGCCATTGTTGTAGCTCCTCTGTTAACAAAAATGCTGTTTGTAAAAATGGATTATCTCGCGCGCAGATTGTGACGATTCTCTCCGACCAATCAGCAGCCGAGAGCGTTGACGTCACAAACTCAGCCCGGTTGTCTTTGGCCCTGGCCCCACGATTTTATGAGGCCAGAAAAACTGTGAATTAGGACCCGCCGGCCGGTACTAGGCCAAGTGGAAACGCAACCACAAACGGGCCGCTGACGTCACAGCCCTCTTAAACCGGGCTGCGCGCTGTAGTGGAAACGCGCCATTAGAGTTTTACTCGCTACAGGGTGTACTTTGAGGGTTTGTGACTCTGCACACCGTTTACATGCATAAAAACCTTCATAACACACAAGGGGACGGGTAATAACCGGAAAAGCATGACATGGGCCCTTTAATATTACAGATTGAGACCATAAACTGAAAGGGAAAAGGTTTACCGTGATAATAAATCTAGTGAGAAGTAGGGTGATTTTCTCATAGACTTCTATACATCTGAATCAGTACAGTCGCCCCCTGCAGGAGATTAGAGGTAAGGCAGGTTTAAGGCACTTCTACATTGATAGGGTAGGTAAGAATGGAGAAACCAGCTCGAGTGTGCTAGAATTTGAAAGTACGCAACCGAAAAAAATCGGCCCCTTCCTTAGGCGCGTTCACACTGCAGTACTTTTCCCACTTTAGTTCCGATATAGTTCCGAAATGTTGCGTTCACACCAAAAGAATCCGGAACTAAAATTAGTTCACGAGAACCTTTTCACCCCCTTTTCCGTCCCTGCTAGAGAGCAGGGACTTTCGTGGGAGAAAAAGGTTCCTATTTCTGATTGGCTGGGCGGATTGCAAACCACGCCCCGTAAAACTCCAAAAAGGTTTTGTGAAGCCGCCATTTTATTATCCTCGCATTAGCATTATTAGCATTAGCATTCGCCCAGCGCACAAACGCAGAGAGACTAACTTATGGCAACACAAAAGAAAACATGGGAGCGGTGGAGATGAGGAGGTGTCGGCGTTCTGGCGATTTACTCGGAAGGCTTCAGTAGAAGCTGCTGGGAGTCCCAGCACATGACCGCGCACATGACCAATGAGGGCACGAGATAAGTTTGTGCACGAGATGGAAGGCTGACAGGCAGGTAGGCCATCTGCTTTTTGCAGCACCACGGCTTCCTCAGATGACATTTTTGTATGTATTTATTGTCAAAGCATTTAATGTATTCATTGCTATCGGGATGTTAAGAGCATTCCATGGAATATAACAAAAAGTGTTTCTGAAGTGAATTACCTACCCCACCTTTAACTGATAAAACCAGATGTTGCCGCTTGGAAAACCCTTGTTCAATTTGGAGTGGACCTGAATCACGGGGTGGATTCACAAATCATTTACTTAGGGAAACGACTTTAGCAAATATCTGCACTTTTCTGCATGCTATTCTTGTTGGCAATGATGCATTGGTAAAACAAATAATCAATATATTCACAAGATACTGTCACAATAAAATATTGATTGTTTGGAACTATATGTTATTTACTTGTTTTTTATGATTAAATAAAACAGTTTTATTATCCGAAACGACCCTATACAATGGAAAAATCCATTAAAAAAACCAGAGTGCTTGCTGCCAACTTAACAGTCAGAGTAATTAGATGGTTAACATTTGCAAACTATATCCAAATTGCCTATAATCTGAAAGTGCTGTGTTTTAAGGTAAACCCTTATCCACGACTCACTTCGTTAAAGCTCTGTCTCAAAGTCGACCTTAAAAATTTCCAGTGACGTCCACTCTTGGAGCAAATTACACATTACGCCTGGTAACCAAAACATCTGGATAACAAAAGAGTTGGAGGAGTTTAAAGCGAGGCAGCTGAGAGGGAAGAGCAGCAGAACGACTGATTACCTGATTCCTGCAACATGAGTCCTGCTCTGGTGCTGTTGGTCTCCTCTCTGCTGGTCTCAGTGGCCTCTCAGTCTCAGGACCACCACGACATGGGCTGGGTCAACGGGTTTCGGCAGAGCTTCAACTTCCAGTGTCCCCACGGAGAGGTGCTGGTGGCCCTCAGGAGCTTCTACAGCGAGGCCGATGGGATGGACCGGCTGTGGTCCTTCGAGTGCCAGGCGACACCCGAGGGCCTGGGGGAGCCCAGTGACTGCTGGTGGGACGACATCAACCGAGGGGGCATGGAGTGGTGCGTACTGAAGAACCAGAATCACAATCAGATAACTTTATTAGTCCCACAAAGGGGACATTTACATTTGTTACAGCAGAAAAGAGCCAAAGACAGCAAAGCATGCATAAATTAAAAAAATACTTGTTTAACCCTTGTTTTAAAGTGCATTGAGACTTTAATTACAATTGTTGGTGCACTCATTTGATTTTAAAGATCAATTTCATTGGTTTGACCTGGTGGGATGGAGTGGTGGGTGATTTATTTGAGTAACACATGCTTCCTACTTTCTTTAACTTTCCAGCTGCATTAAAACTTTAAGTACAATCGTAGTTGGACTTGTTTGATTTTTAGGGATCCAAATAATGTTACTGTTGTTTTTCCCTGGTGGGTGAATTATTTCCTTTTGAAATACCTGATTCCTAATTCCTTTGACTTTCACTTCCTTTGATTTATAGATAGATAGATAGACAGACAGACAGACAGACAGGCAGACAGACAGACAGGCAGACAGACAGACAGACAGACAGACAGACAGACAGACAGGCAGACAGACAGACAGGCAGACAGACAGACAGACAGACAGACAGACAGACAGACAGGCAGACAGACAGACAGACAGACAGACAGACAGACAGACAGACAGACAGACAGACAGACAGACAGACAGACAGACAGACAGACAGACAGACAGACAGACAGACAGACAGACAGACAGACATGGTTTTCCACGGTTGAATTGAGTGGTGGGGGAATTATTTACTTATTGAAGAACTGCTTTCTACTGTCGTTGACTTTATCAGCTAGATAAGAGTTTGGGAACATTCAAACTTAAAAATATCACATTAGTTTGACTGATTTGATTTTAAAGAATCCAAACAAATTGAATTTCATTGGTTTTCCTTGCAGGATGTCTGTCCAGGGTTCTTCCTCATGTTTGCCTTACTGCAAACATTACACTGGAGCCCCCGTTCCCACTGGACCAAAAAACCCAATCACATCTGGCTTTTGTCTTCAGTGGGAAAGTTTACAATCAGCATTCATTCCCAGGACAAACGGCTGGGTCTTATTTATCGAATTCAGCACGGAAACACCCGGAGGACACGATGATCATTTCCGTCCCTCGTGACACTAGTGCAGTGAATAATCCCTCAAACAGGGATTTAGACAATTATTATAATTTATTGATGTACAAAACAAAGAATTAATGCTCTGCTCAAAGTCACCAGAGTCCACTGATAGAAATGTTATTTGTTATTGTCAAGCAAACTTCATTTAAATACTTGAAAGAGACTGAATATGAAACAGATATATAAAAAAGGAAAAACGAACATCACTGTTTACTAAGCCTGTTTTCGGGGTGTTTGTGACCTTGAAACCCAAACTTGTTTATTGGCAATAAGAAGGGAGTTCATGGCTAATTTCCTTGTAAACAAACCCGCCTTTATGCGCTGATTTTGGAGGGAAAACGTCTTAGTCATCAGGGATTTAATCAGTGCTGATATACAGAATATAAATGATGCAGAATGATCGTGCAAAGATTGTGGCATTGACCATTTCTGCAAACATCATTAAACACATCTGTGGTTTGCATAAACGTACAATGCCAACTTGTGTCTCATTTGAGAATGGTATACGACTACAATAATTCATAAATGCACTGAAACGACATCACCATATTAGCCAGATTACACGTGTGAGTGTTGTGGAAAACTCTCTGTTGCTCTGCTCAGCAGCTGTTCTCTCATCAGATAAACATGTCTGAAGATTTGTTACAGGCACATCATTGTTAAAAACCACGTCAGAGGCACATCTTTGGACCATTTGTCCGACATTGTTCCAATTAACAAGAGGAGAAACAGATCAAAGACCTCAGTGTAGTTGCACATACTTTGACCAACAACACAGGTTGTTAAAGGTCACTATTAGCAGACAACACGGGCCCATACGAGGCGTCTGTGTGGAGTTTAACTCTGAAACTGTTGTATGAACAAAACCACCCGTGTTTTTGGAGTGGAAGATCTCCAATCTTTATCTGGAACATTACAAAAAACTGCAACCAGAGGAAGTCTTTGGTCTCATAAAGACCAGGTTGCACTGGTTCGCTAGTGGATACTCATTTTAAACTGCAGTAGTACAACCACTGCTAAAAAATATGTATGCACAATAAAAAATTAAAAAATTCATTTGTGGGTTGTGTTGGGTTCAGAATTCCAGGAAAGACAAACAACTTCTAAGTTTAACTATTTATTGTAAAGAGAGCAAAATATATATATTACTTGGCCAAGGACTCATCACGTCTTTGGGAATCACAGGCCGCAAAGCTGTAATCTGTAACCACCAAATCCGTAAAGAGCCTCCAACCTCGTGCGACAATACATTTTATTACACAGGGCGTTGCCCGTACATTTATGATTGGTCAAGACTAGCTGAAGAGATACCGCGGTTTAGACTTGGTTCTCTGTGGTTGGTGCACAGACTCAGATAGAGTCTCTTGGCAACACAATCCTCCAATCAGCATTCGGCCGGCCTGTGGAAGTCCCTCCCTACTCTGGCACCATCATACTAATTTGTTTTCTCTAACGTTTCTTCAGATATAGCGGGAAACCATAATGTTGCTTCCTAGCTTTGCGGGGGCGCGCGGCTCCCATACGAAGTCAAGGCCGGTGCGATGTGCTGTTCTGACTACCTCTTTGTGTTCTCTCAGTCTCTGCACTCCACCTTGCTACTTTCAATATTGCAAGCTAAACACTTTCTCATGTAACTTTTCCCTCCGTTCCTGTCCACAAAATCAAACATGCAGCATGATCAATAATCAACGTGAATTCGAAGGACGACAATTTTGTCCCACATTTGGTTTTGATTTTTCACAAATAAGTCACTAAACAAAGTCTAAAGGGTTCATGTGTGGAGGGTTAGGGTTACCAAAACTCAAATCCTACTTACGTTAACGTGACGTTAAACTTTATATGTGTAACTTAAGCTGGGTAAAACAGTTTTTGAGCCAAACCATGATATCTCCCAGAACCTAACCAGGTAGTTTAGCTGCGTTTTTTGCTACGTAATGGAGAATGTATTTGAGTAGTTTGGAAACATTATTTGCAAGAGACAGTTGTACTTTACTCCCTAGAAATACATTTAAACCAAGTGATGTTAGCAGTGTCTTAACATGGTCAAACTATTGTTAATAATTGCTCTTTTGGCATTATTGTTCTTAGATTGTGCAGAGAGCAAAATGTTATACAACTGTGATTTTAACTGTGCAACTAGAGATATAAAAAGTTATTGTTCTGTCCATTGTTTCCTCCGGGTCTGTAAAAATCACAATTCAATATGCAGTGTGTGTGTCTTCCTCTGACAGTTCCTGGAAACATGACTTCCTCCTCCAGTGAAACAGGCCAATCTCCAACGGGCCTTCAGAGAGTTCTCATTCTGATGCTTTTATGGACCACATGTTGCAGACTTTTCCTGGATCCGGTCATTCAGAAAAACCAGAGAGAGAGTTACAATCTCACATAAACATGTTCCTCAGGCTTTGAACTTCACAGGATGTTTGATCTAATTACGTAACTTTGAGAAAAAGCTCGATTGGAGGTAGAACTGTATCCTGACATCTCTTAAAGGTCCCCTATTATACTGTTTTTCATCAATATATCACAGGTCTCAGATATATCCAGAACCTGTCTCTGATTGGCTGAAACACCAAACAGATCATTGCAGCATTACCCATAATCCCCTCTGTTTCAGCCCTGTTTCCAAAGTGCTGATTCTCTGTCTGTTACTTCAGATGAAAATAAGGAGCCCCTCCCCACACCCCTCTGAGAGAGATTTGGTTACAAAGAACACAATGGTGCTCTAGGAGGAGATTCAGGTGATAAGGGGGGGGGGGGGGGGGGTCACCTTGGTTGGTGATTGGCTAATGGTTACACAAGCCAAAACATCGTTATGACATGGACAAGTGGATTTTGCGTAATAGGTGACCTTTAAACAGCAGCTTGAATCAAAACCAGTAACCGGCTCCAGATAACTTATTCAAGGTTTTGGGAGCTATTTCTTTGGTGCTCTTTAGATCCATTTGGAGGTAAACTCGACTGCACCCAGCCCTCAGATTGAAAGACAAACAATGATTTCTCTATTGCCGCCACACCTTCCTCTCTTTACGACTCTGTCTGTTTGAGTTACAGCAGTTTCACCCTGCAGGGACACGAATGTTTCCATGACAAACGTGGGGCAGTTCCTTCTGCTCGAACCTCGTATTGTTGGCTGTGTTGTGGTGACAGCGTAGTATATGGGTCATAAACAAACAAACTGTCAACAAACCAGTATTAACCTCAAACAATAAAGATGCATTTTTCTCTCTAATGTGTCACCTCTCAATGAAGTGAGGAAGTACTTGAAGGAGAGAGACTGACATTCTGTGTTTTTCACTGTCAATATAGTTCAAGGTTCAAGGCTTTTATTGTCATGTGTACATAGCTACAGTCACAGGCTCCTCCAACAGTGCAACACAATAAAACAGAGAATAGTGCAAGTAAATAAAATAAAATAGAATATAGTAGAAATGGTGCAGAATAGTTTATATACAAGTAACTGGAATTATTGATATATATATAAGTTGCATATAGTGAAATGTATGTTTTTTTTAAAGTAATAACTGATTGACTCACTTTTTCTTTGCAGGACTTCCACGTGCACTCGTAACGGGCTGGTGGCCGGCGTGCAGAGCAAGTACTTTGAGTCCGTTCTGGACCGAGAGTGGCAGTTCTACTGCTGCTACTACAAGCGCCGCTGCCCCTACTCCTGCATGTACGTACTCACAGGGCTTTGTTACAGGAAATATATACTAAGATACTTCTATACTTTGGGAAAAGGATCGAAACCAGACTCCTAGGAAGCAGAAGCAGACACTAACTAACTAAATAAAAGAGATACACTTAATGTGTGTACACAAACTTTAGTGTTATTTAAATACTTTGGTTTGACAGAGGTTATTTTGTGTACAAATTCTTAGAGGTCACAACTCAAAGACAAGATATAGTCCTGCACATAAATCAACTTGCACTTTATAATTTCAGTAAGGATGAAATAAACAGGATTCAACATGTTGATTAGTAAGCTGTAGGGCTTTTGTTTTGCGCTACCATTCGTAGCAATACATGCGTAACTTACACACTAAATCAATTGTTTAGTTCACATATTAGAAAAGTAGATTAGGGAAAGATATTGCATAGGAACGAGTGGTCTGGATGGACCCAAAAAACGCAGGACTATCCGAACTTGCAGGTTCATGCCATCGCATGTTCGTGAGTAGCTTTAGTACATAAGCCCTTACTGACAACTGTCACGTGACTTCAAAACTTAACTAATAGCACTTCTCCAGTTATTTTTTAAACCAAATCACAATCTTTTGTTTACCTATAGGCTTGATGTCTTAAACTTAACCAAGTGTTTCATGTGTAGTTATTTAAACCAGAAATACAATCTTTTCCTAAACCTTAGCAAGTGTTTTTGTTGCCTAAACCTCCCCGAGTAGTTTGTGTTGAAAGACTGTATGCACCTAACAAGCTCATCTTGACACGTGTTGCTGTACATTCATAAATAATTTCACACAGCTTTGACTTATAACCTATACAAATGTTTCACAAAGATACAATTTTACTGTTTTCATATGAGAATGGTGTCAATCTTCTTGTTTTAATCTTGGCAAGATAACCAAATGATCATATTTCCCAATGAGTCCAATTATACTTTTAAAGCTTCACATTGTGATACTCAACATGCCACACACGGCTAATTTGCCTCCACAGGAAGACCAGTGACGTCCCTGAGCAGTACAGAGAGGAGGGCGAGATGGTGGTCCCCAGTTATGGATTCTTCATCCGAGGAGCCGAGTCCACCTTCAGTGGAGTTCTGAGGTTTGATCACAACATCTGTTTATCTCCTAATAACTTCTGATCCCATGAGGCCACAGTTTGGATCGGAAATCCATCCAGAAATGGTTGAAATCCTCTCAATTGGAAGACAATATCTCCGGAGTTTGCCTGATGGGACCAGAATGTATTGGCACACCAAACACAAACCAGTAAAATTGTATGATTTATGATTGTTGAAGTGACAGATTTGTGTCTTTTGTTTCAGGGATCGGCAGTGGAAGTACATCCTGTGCAGAATGACAGACTTTGACTGTGAATTTGAGAATTTATAGAACTTTCCCCTCACTATATAAAAGCACAACTATATTTACTCTTACATTTAACCAAAAACATAATACTGACATTATGCATATCTGATATGATTCACAGTTTCATTTACTTTTGTTAAATGCATCGCCCACACACCCTGTATAATCACTGTTTGTAAGTCTGGCATGCACACATCACTGCTCACATACTAGTTAAATGTCTAGACAAACAAACAAACAAAGGAATTATGTCACCAAAACCCGAAACTCCAATATAAATTGTGATCCAGTCTTACATTTTTAAAGGTCCCATGTCATGGCCATTTCTACTGATCATAATTCCATTGTTGAGGTATACTGAAATAAATGTATATTGTGCAATTTTCCAAACTCACATTGGTTTCTCATACAGCATCTCTGTATAGTATGTGTATTCACTCTCTGTCCTACACGGCTTGTTGGAGCTCCTGCCCCCCCCCCCCTCCCTGTGAGCCCAGTGGCCGTCCGCGAGACAGCGAGGCACCGTGACTTGTGGTTGCTGCAGGAACTGGAAGTCATTTGGCAGCATGTGAAAGTCTTCCAAAAAACAAAGTTGATAATTGGATGCTGTGGTCATGGTGGTGGAAAACACCAACCAGGCTCCAGCCTCTCTTAGTGAAGGTCACATGGCGGTGAAGGCCATTTGGTTGGATTTTCACGGTCATAAAAACACTCAGTGGGATGCAGGGTGTGACTGATTGAGATATTGTCTTGAAGGGAACAATTGTGTTTGTGTTGAAAGAAATATAGACCTATCATATCATATATAGAGCCTCTAGCATCAGGACTTTTTGTAATGAAGAGTTTTGTAATCTGCTTTCAGCTGACTTCACATGTTATATACTGTACTGTACTGGAACTCATGTAACTATACTGTGTGGAAATGGGATTAAAAGCATCCCCTTCTTTTAAATGTGTTGTTGTGTTCATTCATTCAACATGTTGCCAAGAAAACTGTTTTGCATGTTGTTGGAAAATCTAAATAGTGGAGATCTCCATGAAGGCCTCCATGATTCGGATCCGGTTGATAAATACCGTGTAGTGTATATACTGTATTTAAACATTATTTGCACGTTAGCTATATATGATTGACAGTTGCAACTTTTTTAATTCAATCCAAATAATGTTTAAACACAGTTAACAATACTTTAAAGGTTTAAGAAATCAGTTGGGAATTTTTAACAAATACCTAAAAGGATCCAATACAAAATGCAAGAACGTGTGCAAAATATAAGTGTTAAAAAATAGTAAATGTATGCAAACTGCATATAATTGTTATCTTATTAGCTATTCAATGACACATACTTTATGAACTCATTATTTGTCATTTACTCAAACCAATGATAACATTTCCGGCCAATGGTGCATTCAAGTGTTTCTCCGGTGGTCCCGAAGTTCGGAAGTTCTTTCGATTTCGGAATGTTCATAAGCTTTAAGTTGTAAATTGAGAACAACATCTACGTTCCAAATAAGATATGTAAAGTTTTGTATTGCTCAGAGTATTTAAATAAAAATAATATCTGTGTCCAAGTTGTTCTTTCGACTTAAGTGGTGTTCATGGAAATTTTTCCAGTCATTAACCATTTCTCTGAAATATTTGTTTCCGTGCGGCGATTCAGATTTCTTCCAAAATGTAATAAGTATTTCTTTGGCCGATGCGACACCCTCTCAACTTTGCAATTTTTCTAGCAAGTCAATCAAAACACATTTTGGGGAGGGGCTTTTAAAGAGACAGGCACCTATAGAGTGGTGCAGTGACGAGTCCGAAAACCCGGAAGTGAGTCAGCATTTTACCACTACCGGTTCCCTCGTCTCAGAGCCAATAGGCGCTTTCACACCGGAGTACTTTTCCCGTTTAGTTCCGATAGTTCCTGGAATTTTGCGTTCACACCAAAAAGAGAACTTAGTTCATGAGAACTTTTATCCCCTTGTTAGTGCCTGCTAGAGAGGTGGGACTATCCTGGGGAGAAAAAAAGTACCAATTTCTGATTGGCTGGGCGAATTGCAAACCACGCCCCGTAAAACTCTGAAAAGTGTTTTGAAGCCGCCATTGTATTTGCTGGCATTAGCATTATTAGCATTAGCATTAGCCCAGCGCACCAACGGAGAGAGACTAACTTATGGCAACACAAAAAAAAAACATGGGAGCGGTGGAGTGATGAGGAGGTGTCGGCGTTCTGGCGATTTACTCGGAAGGCTTCAGTAGAAGCTGCTGGGAGTCCCAGCAGCTTCTACTGAAGCCAGTCCCCAACTCCGGGGACTTCCGGCCGTGGACTCCGGGTGGCAGTATACGCCGTGAAGTGGTTTGCGGCCTGCCAGTAAACCCAAAGCAGAAGAAGAAGAAGTGACATCAGCGGCTTCATTTGCGTAATCTTCCCTCAGGGAACTTATTCCGGTGTGAACACGATCTGTACTAATGGGGGTTGTCGAGGACGTTGTACGTCATTACGTCAAACACGTAAACACTCCCGCTAAGTTTGTTTGCCCTGTTCTGCTTGAGAGCAAGTACCTGCCTCCTGCTAACTGTTCAAACAAACGCTTCAACTTGTACCATTTTGAATCTGTAGTTTTTAATATGGATCTTAAGTTGGCGTGACGTTGATGTCGTGCTGCTGTACTCGGCTGTAGTTCCTTTACAGCATAACGTTAGCATTTTGCTTCTGGCGATTAGATTTATGATTAGAAAATTATAAAAGTAGGGTAGACATGTGGAGATTATCCGGCAAAACGTGCATTTATCAAACAGGTTCGTTTTCCACAGACCTTATTTCGAGCTATTTTCCAAAATCCTATGGAGAAATCCCGTTGCTTTTTTGTCGAGGAAACCCATGCGCAGCTTACTTCCGGGTAAATACGTCATCCCTGCACCACTCTATATGGAGCGTTGTAGTCAGAAAGTGAATACACGTATATTCAGATGGACAGTATGAGGAAAATAATGTATATTTGTTTGACTATAAAGCATGTAAGCAGGTTCCCGTAGAAATACCTAATGCAAGTATAAACCTGAAAATAAACTTTATATAGCCTCTTTAAAATGAACCCTTGGATTTGAAGGTTGTCTCTACTACAGAACACCTCTATAAGTGATCACTTATATCAGGCCAATATTTGTTCCTGCTGCAAACACCATAACAAACATAACCTCCTTGGCACAGGTAACACGAAAGTATGGGATGTTTAAAATGTCATATTGCCGTGTTTATTAAAATCTTACAAACATGTGGAGGGAAAGTGTTGTGAGAGAAAGGATAATCTCGCTATGTGAGAGTGAAAGCCCTCCAAAAACACAGCGAGGATGAAGTCAGCCATGACGTTATTCAGCAGCTTAACTTGGCTGAAGGCAAACTCAACACTTCTTTGTTTTTTCCATAACACGCCGCAGCAGGGCTCTGACATCAGGGATTACTTTATCAACCAAATCACTTTGTTACTCACGTGATAGTTAGTCGGATGTAAACAGTGGAGGAGGGAAAAGTGTTAGTTCATGCTACTTAAAGTTACAAAAAAATACATATTTCCCAAAGTGTTAGACTTTCTCTAAGTAAGTTACACATGTATGAAAAGGTGATGAACACTGAGGCATGGAAATTAATTAAAGGGCCCATGTCATGCTTTTCCAGTTATTACCCGTCATGTCATCTGTCATCTGTGGAAGCCGTGGCGCTGTAAAAAGCACGACCAATCATCTGAGCCGGCCCGGCTAAAATAACTGGATGGCCTACCTGCCTGTCAGCCTTCCATCTGTGCACAAACTTATCTCGTGCCCTCATTGGTCATATGCGCATTTGTGTGTGTTGGAGGAGGCGCTCTGTAAGGAAGTGGCAGATTTTTCCGGCTGTGTATTTTCAAATTCTGGCGCACTCGAGCCGGTTTCTCCAAAATTACCTACCCCACCTTTAAGCTACGAATGAACAGCAACCTAAATTAAAAGTCAACAGACGTTTCTTCATGACTACTTGTATGTTGTTAATGTTACATGTCTCTTGGTAGTTGTTATGTGTCTTAATATACTTTTCTTGTGTCCCTTGGTAAATGTTTTTTTGTCTCTGTAGTTTAGTTTCTCTTTTTAGTTGTTTTTTGGTCTCTTTTGTTTCACTTTGTGGTATTCTAAGCCTCTCTATTCCTTGTCTTGTGTCTCTTGGTAGTTGTGTTTTGTCTCTTTGTAGCTTTGTGTCTCTTTGTGTCCCTGTTGTGAATTGTGCCTCTTTGTAGACGTAGTTGCGTTGCGTCTCGTTGTAGTCATTTTGATTGTTTGTCCTCATTTGATCTTTCCTTGTAGTTGTTTTGAGTCTTTTGGTGGTTGTTTTGAGTCCCTGTAGTTGCTTTCCTGCTATTTTTTGTCCTTTTCGGTCTCTTTGCAGCTGTTTTGGTCTCTTTGAAGAAGTTTTTTGTCTCGTCTTGGTACACTTCTCTTTGATTGACTGGGCCACTTTGTCCTCATGTCACTTCTTTCATTTAAAATGGGTCAAGCTGCATTTCTTTACTACCCCAACTCTCCAAAGTCCTGTTAAAATGTATTGGAGCTTAATGGAGTGAGCTGGGCGAAGGTCAGGCGGCTCGTCTTGAAAAGAGCTGGGGAGCGGGCCAGTAGCTTTCAGCACTATTTGTTTATGGCAGCTGCTGTCCCGGGGCACGGGGCCAAAGCCGCGGCGACACAGCTGTCCCCGGGGCCGCCGGACGGAGGAGAGACACACGCCTGAGGAGAGGAGGGACCACAGGGATCCGATATCAAGCCTCCGAGAGGAACGAGGCTCCCAGGGTCCTACCGCCACCCCGCTCTGTGACCATGGAGAAAAGTAGTTGCTTTAGGTGTCTTTGTAGGCATTTTGAGTCACTTCGAAGTTATTTTGTGTATCTTTGTAGGCATTTTGTCTGATTTTGTACCCAACTTTTGTCTTTTTGTAGATGCTTTTATGTTTCTTTGTGGCCGCTTTGTGTCTCTTAGTTGTTATTTTGAGTCACTTTGAAGTTCATTTGTGTATCTCTGTGTCTCTGTGTCGTTATTTTGTCTTTTAATAGTATTTTTTTGCCTCTTTGAAGTCATTTTGAAACTAAGTTAACTTGTTTTTGTGCGGTTTTGTAGTACATTTTGTCTCTTTGGTTACATTTCATCTATCTTTTGGTTATTCATATTTCTTCGTCCAAGGGTCCAACTGTCACCCCGCTCTGTGACTCTGGAGGACAACACCCCAACTTTTGTCTTTTTGGAGATGATTTGTGTGTCTTCGTAGTGACTTTGTGTATGTGTATGGCCATTTTGTGTCTTTTAGTTGTTATTTTGAGTCACTTTGTAGTGATTTTGAGTATCTTTGTGCATTTTGTGTCCGTGGGTGTTTCTCAATCTCGAGTAAAGCCGCTCCAGAGCCACTATTTCAAGCATACTACGTCATCGAGTGCCGCCGAAGGACTGTTCCAATCTCCAGCATACTTGGAAATCTACCGAGCCCGGCGCACTTCGTTTGGAGAAATATCCAGTGTGCACATGAGTAGACTCCGCGGTCTTAAAATCCCCACAATGCTTTGCGCACGGACCAATTTCCCCAAATCTGTGGCGGAAGATGTAAGGCGGGGCCTCTCATATGACGCACACCTGCACACTTGCTAGCCTGTTCCACTCTTTGTTTTCCGAGGCTAAGAAGTATTCTTGCCTCGCTTCTGAAGCAAGTGACTCGGAAGACGTGTGCTACCAAGCAAGCGTACTCGACATTGAGAAACACCCTGTATATGTAGCCCTTCTCTCCCTTTGTCTTGTGTCAGTTCGTCTTGTCTCCACGTCGAGTCCATGTCTGTTATCATAGTGAATCTTTTGTTTATTATCTAAGTTTTTCCTATTAAGTGTTTTTGTTTGTAGCTTTAAGTTTGAAGCTTTAGTCTTTTATAAATAAAAGATATTTTTGAGTTAACTGAATCGTGCATCTGAGTTCCTGTGAGCCCATCGTGTCAGTTAGGCCCTATTTTGTTCCTTAATACTGCTGACAGCTCGATAAACCAACCAACAAATTGCATCAAAAACATAAAACACAGCCTT